CCCCAAAACCCCAAAACCCCAAAACCCCAAAACCCCAAAACCCCAAAACCCCATATAGTCAAGTAGAGCTGAATTTAGGATGAATAAATTAAGATTCCTCAACTTCAAGGGAGAACTCATCAAGGAGCTCGTCTCCTGAAAACATTTGTGCTGTCAAATGATCTCCAGAGTAGATTCTGCCAGGTGGAAGTGGACTTCCAGTCAAGATCATATCTCCTTGCTCCAAGGTCATGTAACTAGATACCATGCTGAGGATCTTAGGAATTCTATAAATCATCTCTCCTGTGTTTCCTGAAATTCTTGGCTTGTTGTTGACCTCAAGATTGAGTGTCAAATTATGAGGATCATCAATGTCAGCAGCATGGATGAAATTTCCGAGTGGGGTATGGGTATCTTGCCCCTTACATAAAGCTAATGCTTGAGGATCTTTCTCTAATTCTCCTACATCGGTAATATCCAAGCAGAGGAAATATCTAAAATATAAGCAGTAACATACCCTCCGATGTAATCACGCCATCTACGTTCTTTGATGTTCTTGGCGGTTTTGGAGATCATTAATCCCAATTCGATCTCTGGGATAACTTCATTATGACTCTATAAATATATTCGTAAGATTCTTAAAGACGTCCAGGTGACGTTATTCTTAATTTTTCAGATTCTTTGAAATTTCAAAAAGATATTTAAGCAACTAGGATTTTACAGCAAAGATTCAGTAAACTCTAGTACTGGAGCTGAAGTAACGATTTAAGCCCATAACCGCCCTAAATCTTCCCCCAAGACGTCTCAAAGCCCCATGACCTACATCAACACGGATTGGTTCTGCATGTGGAAGTGTCGCACTATAATTTTCATCTTCAATACCTTACTTTATCACTCCAGAGCATGGCTTGAAGAAGTAGAACGGGGAGCCGATAGTTTGGTAAAACTCGTCTGAACTCTTAACCGCATAATTCTTGGCAACACCAACAATCTTATTGTGGGTCTTTCCGATGACCTTGTTGAAGATTGATGTTGATAGCATATTTATTATTAATAAGATTTCATCCTCTCCTCTCTTGTGGGGTTTTGGGGTTTTGGGGTTTTGGGGTTTTGGGGTTTTGGGG